TAGTCCTTCTAAATACGAGCTCAAATCCTTCGTAGGTGAAAGGCAAAGAAGAATATATCTAAGGTTGCGAGGCTTTTCCAAAGATACCAAACAACCTTTCGGACAAAATATGGAGAGGTATAGTATGGAGGGAATGTTAAAAGAGATTAGAAATTCCCTAGCGAACGCCCTCAATGATAAAAGGGTTGTTGTGGCCGGGAGTTGAAACTGTCTTGAAAGCTAAAGTAGATACAAAGGGTTATTGTAAAATAGATAAAGGAAATAAAAATAAGAATTATGGTCATGACTCTAGAGAAGGACGAAAACCAAACGGAAGTTGCTCACTTGAGAGCCGTCAAAAATTACTTCGATGAGTTTTATAAAATGTCCAAATAAACTCTTAGGCGAGGCCAACACCTCTAAAGATTGAGTGATGGAGTTCTTGAAAGATGCCTACATTTTAAACAAGTACGGATGTAGACATTAACGGAATTGGTATCCGACTTTCTTCTTAAGAGACTTGTGAGTAAATTTGAGTGAACCTTTCACTAAAAAAGCCTAAACACATGATTAAAATTAATCAACAAATGGATTCGGACTCATCATTCACATAAGTAGCTCCATCTACTTTTTATGGTGAAAATTATCAAGTTTGGACGAGTGAGAATGGAGGCGTACTTAGATGCTAGTGATCTTTAGGAGGCTATTAAAGAGGATTGGGAAGTTCCTCTATTGCCTAACAATCCAAAACTTGTTCAAATCAAGAATTACAAAGAAAATAAGCAAAGGAAGTCAAAAGCATAAGCATGTCTATTGGCAGCTATCTCACCAACAATCTTTGACCTTAAAATCAGCAAAGGCCATCCGGGATTTTCTCAAAAGAAAAATATGAAGGTGATGAGAGAATTAGAGGGATATAGGTGCTGACTTTGATAAGAGAGTTTGAGATACAAAGAATGAATGAGTCAAAGACTATCAAAGAGAACTCCGACAGATGTTTAAGCATTGTTAACGTGGTAAGATTGCTTGGTACTAAATTTTCTAATTCTAGAATTATTCGGAAAGTTCTTGTTACAGATCCTTAAAAAATTTAAGGTGATAATTTCCTCATTAGAGAATTCTAAATATCCGTCAAGTGTAACCTTGGCAAAACTATTGAATTCATTACGAGCTTAAAGGCAAAAGAAGCTAATAAGGAAAAAAGGCTTAGCGAAGGAGCCTTGTAAGCGAAGCTCCAAATCAACCAAAGCAACAAAGAAAAGAAAACCGTAAATGCGACTTATGTTAATAATAGCATTAGCAATGGCATCAACAAAAAGAATTTCCCTTCTTGTAAGCATAGTAACAAGAAAGGTCATCCTCCTTTTCAAGTGCTAAGGCCGGATGTGAAGTGTAGTAAATGTAACAAAATAAGACATCATGAGAAAATCTATAGGAGCAACCTTTAGTAGCAAAATAAAGATCAAGTTGCGGACTAGGAGGACGAGAAAGAGTAGTTGTATGTTGGTTCTTCTTTTTCTAGCAATATCTCAAGTGGAGAACTAGCTCATAGACTATTATTACACCAATCATATGACCTATGATCAAGAACTCTTAAAGGAACTTGATAGGTCGGTGGTGTTAAGAATCGAAATTGGAATGTTCAAGACATTACAACCAAAGGAAAGGGAATTGTAACTATTGAAACTTGCATAGGGACAAAGCTCATTTCGATGTTTTGTTTATATCTAAAATTGATCAAAAGTTATTAAGTGTGGGCTAGTTATTTGGAAAGGGTTTCAAAGTAATTTTTTGAAGAAAAACAGTTGTCCGATCAAAAAAGCAAATGATTAGGAAGTGTTTAGAATCAAAATTAAAGGCAAGAGCTTCTCTTTAAATCTAATAGAGAAAGAGCAAGCAGTATATCCTACTATTGAAAATAAGGTTGAGCCATGGCATAAGAGGCTAAGCCATTTTCGTAACATTGGCGTCTTGTTGATGTAAAGAAAAGAAGCTGGTTCAAGGCTTACCTTATTTGGAGAGTGAATTGCCAAGTTACAAGGTTTATCAATATTTTAAACATGCAAGACTCTCCTTCTCACAATCATCCTGGAGAGCAACTATGAAACTATAACGTTCCACACAAACCTTGATATGCCTCGAAGAACTCTTTTATTTAAAGAGAGTAAATATTATATAGTCTTTATTGATGACTTTACCATAACGTGTTGGGTATATTTATCGGGTTTAAGTCAAAGGTTAAAGGTGTATTCGAAGGTTCAAGTGGTGGATTGAAAACCAAAGTGGTTTCAAGATCCAAGTTTTGAGGTTAGACAATAGTAAGGAATACACTTCGAATAATTTAACCTTTTTTTTTATGAAAAGGCTAGTACTAAGCATCAATTTACAGACTCTATATACTCCACAACAAAATGGAGTTAATGAAAATAGAATGATCATGGAAATGGCCAAATTGATGCTTCATAAGAAAGATTTGCCTAAAGAGTATTAGTCGAGTCTACAAATACTTGCAGTATTCTTGCTAAATAGACTTTCTACTAAGGTAGTGAATGGGATGACTCTTTTTGAAGTCTAGTATGGATTTAAGCCTTTCTTGAAAATATTAAGATATTTGGTTGCTTGTGTTTCATCTATTTACCACAAATCAAAGAGGGATAAACTTGATAAGAAAGTCGAGCCTAGCATCTTTATGGGATATAGTATAATTTCAAAAGCTTATAGAGTTTTTCAATCCAACACAAGAAAAATTCATATAAGCAAAGATGTGTACTTCATGAAGAATAAGTAGTGAAGTTGGAATGATGTAGAAAAAAAAATCAAATTGTTGATCCTCTACAAAATCAAGATAAGTTAATGGATGAGCTTTACGTAAGAGGCACCTTATTGCTCTCTAATATTTATTAGGGATGTAATATAGCTGTTTTTAAACCTACAAGATATGTAAAAGTATAAAAGGATCCCAAATTAAAGGTGTAATGCAAGAGGAACTCAATATGATGGAAAAGAATCGGACTTGGGAGCTTATAAAGAGGCTTGAACATAAAAAAGTGATAAGTGTTAAATAGGTGTTCGAAAAAAGCTAAATACAAATAGGTCAATCAACAAACTCAAAGCAAGGCTTGTGGTAAAAGGGTATGTTCAAATTTTTAGTGTGGATTTTTTTTGACAAATTTGCTCTTATTGCAAGGCTAAATACAATTAGACTGCTACTAGCCATTATAGCACGAAGGGTTGAAAAATCTACTAGTTTGATATGAAGTTAGTATTTCTACATGGATTTCTAGAGGAAGAAATCTATGTTGAGCAACATGAAAGATTTGTCGTGAAAGGGCCAAGGAACAAGGTTTATATACCCAAAAAGGCTTTATATGGTCCGAAACGAGCAATCGATCGCTTGGTATAGTAGGATTGATGAGCATTTGCTAAAGTTAGGCTTTCTTAAAAGCCTTAGTGAACCAACCTTATGTGTTAAAGGAGATAATTCTGATTTAATTATTATCTCCTTATATGTTGATGATCTCTTAGTCACAAGCAACAATGACGAACTTATTTAGCAATTCAAGAGAGAAATGATGCGGATATTTTAGATGACTAGCTGGGAAAGATGGCTTGCTTCCTTAGTATGGAGATAAAGCAAAACAAGAATGAAGTTTTTATTTGTCAAAGGAAGTATGCAAAAGAGATCATGAAGAAATTCAATATAGAAGACCGTAAGTAAATGAGCACTCCTATGAACCAAAAAGAGAAGCTTTATAAGAAGATGGAATTAAGAAAGTGAAGGAGGCTAAGTGTAGAAATTCATTAGATGCTTGATGTATCTCACTACAACAAAGCCTAACATACCACATGTTATGAGTGCTTTGTCCAGATTTCTACATGGTGCTAGTTAATTAGATCTTAAAGCTACTAAATGGGTGCTTAGATATGTTAAATCCACTATTGATTATGGAATTGTGTTTCATTATAGTTAGAATTTTCAGTTTCATGGCTATTCTAATAGTGGCTAGGCAGAGTTCCTTTGATGATATAAAAAGTAAATCAAGGTACTATTTTACACTTGGCACGAGTGTGTTTTCATAGAGTTCTAAGAAGCTAGAGACTCGGCTCAATCAACGACTAGGGTAGAGTTCATTGCGAGTCACAATAGTTGTGAATCAAGCCTTACGGCTTAGGAAAATTCAATCACAACGAGTTGTGAATCAAGCCTTATGGCTTAGGAAAATTCTTCTCTAACTTGTATTTGGAGCAAAATGAGAGTACAAAGGTGTTTTTTTAATAATCAAGAAGCCATTGTAATCTCTAACAATCTTGTCTCGTCATGGAAAACTAAACATTTTAACATTAAGTTGAATTTTTAAGGGAAGTGTAGAACAATGAAGAAATTTGCTTCGTGTATTGCAAGACTAAAAATTAGTTTGATAATATTTTTACAAAAGCTCTCCCTTACTATATATTTGAGTTTCTAAGAGAAAAATTTAAAGTCTAGAACTATTAAGGTAAAGAAGAGTGTTGCATATGTGTCTCAACAACCGTTGACTATGCAAAAGTTGTTAATTAAGCAAACTTAGGTGGTTGCATTTGAAAGCTTTGATCTATTTTTATGATTTTTGTTATGCATTTTCTTTAGTTACTAAAAAGTAGTTGTTCCTAACTCATATTCGACATCTTGTAATCATGTTTTTTTTATGCGTTAGACCATGTTATCATATTCAATTTTATTACTTTTTTAGTTATTTTTTATTGTATTTAAGCACAATTTGATTCAATGAAATTTACACAAATTTGTCGCTAATTTTCTTGAGTTTTTTAAATAAATTTTTTTTATTATATCAATTATTTTTGTTTCAAAGTATTTAAAGCTTCTTTTGTTTTTGTGATTAAAGTCCAACAACAACGAGCCCATCCCTAACTTTAAGAGGTTGTATCCTCTTTGGGCGATAATTTTTATGAATGGGAGGGACATTTTGGGTGATGAACTATTCTTTCTTTACAAAGGGAATACTTAAAGCCGCAGGTAGCGATTACCCTCTTTCTTCTTCTTCTCCTTCCAAGGAAAGAGTCTCTAGATCTAGACTCGCAATATTCTCTCCCTTCTTCTTCTTCTTCTTCTTCATCTTCTTTAGGGAGAAACCTCTGAGAGTCGAATATGGCATTTGTCCTTTCCTTATTTTTCTTTTTCTCAAGGTTGAGTTTTTATGGCTAGTAGCAATGCTTGTGCTCTTTTTTTCTTCTTCGTCTTAAAGTGAGGTTTCTATTATTGGGAGCGATACTTGCCCACTTTCTTCTTTTTCTTCTTCTTCTTCTTCTTATAAGGGTGACACTTGACTTTTACCCGGTGTTTGTATATTTCCTCTTGGAAGGAAAGAAAAGAGAGGAAAGAAAATTAGAGAAAAAAAAATTATTTTTCAATTGTTGTTTGGATAAGAGTAGAAATAAAATAAAAGAAAGTATCTTTTTCTTGTTTGGATAATTATGAAAGAGGGAGAAAAGAAAATATATTATTATATATTTACTATAATACCTCTATGATTACATCTCTATATTTAAATAACCGCCACCACAAAAAAAAAGAATTAAAAATAATAAAAAAGAAAAGAGAACAGAAGAAGAAAGTAAAAAATAAAAAAAGAGGAAATATATAGAAATTTTGCACTAGAAAGCTCAAGAAGCACATGCAACTTGACAAGGACCTAATTTTCTTTTTTGCATAAACCAAACACACCCTAGGGTTTGGCATATATAACCAAAAATTTATCCCTTCTGTCGCAAAAGCTGTCGTACCCTACCTTTTTCGTCGAACCTATTTCTGTTTCCATCATAGGACCGACCATCAAACACCACCAGCAGGTTCCAAGTGACCGTCTTCTTTCCACCACTGAGAGGATGATGAACAGGCTTTTCTCTACCAAACAATCGCCAAATCTTGGCCTTCACCAACTCGGATGGATACGATTTCTTCTCTGAATCGGACTCCGAATCCGACGATGAAGATTTACGATGATGAATCTTCTCGCTAATCTTTTCGATGAATGACTCAATCGGACTCTCAGATGGCTCCGCCATTATAATCTGGATCTTTCAAATTGAAATTTAAGAGCACGAAGAAGAACACAAAATGTACCGATGAGTTAAGGAGCGAAAACCAGCAACGAAGAAAGCCTTTAGAGAGGGCAAACCAAACAAATGAGACGTAGAAGATGAGGGCAAAAATGACAATACCTTTTTTTTGTCGGTTTTTTCGTGATTTTCACCCACTTTCCTCTCAATTTTGGGAGGAAAATGGTCCAATCATTTTTAACTTTGTTTATTATTATTTTTTTTCATTCCATAGGTTTTCTTTATAAAAAAAAACGGATGAAACTTTTCTTTCCTTCATCCACTCTATCCAAACATTGCATTACTTGCTAAGACTTCTATACACCCAAACACTATGGAGATTTTGGAGGGGGTTATAGATCTGGTGGAAATAGAATAAGATTTATGTTTTTTTTTTAATAATCATTTACCCATATCCTATAGGGGTCAGTTGTATCTTCAATTTATTAACAAAAGTTTGATGTTCTCGCTTTTTTATTTTATCCCTCAATTTTTGGGCGGTTTGGATGACTCATGTTTTTTAACTGTCTTGATCATCCTTTGTAAAATTTTATGAGGCTGCATGACGTTTTCACATTCGACCAAAGATGGCCTTTGTACCTAGGTATGATAACTACAGTTTTTATAGAAGTAGTTTGAAAGAGAACAGTTGCATACCTTAGATAGGATAGCCACAAGTCTCCAAAGATGTGTGCGGGGACGTTGTACTGGTGAAGTAGAAACACAAATTTCAAGAACCTTTGAGAAAGCACAATTTTGGTTCCTAAGTTCCTCAAAAAAATAAGGTCATGGATAGTACTCTTAGAGAAAATATAGATGTTAGTTCCTTAAGAATCATGGTCGTGGACTGTAAAACCGTGTGCTTGGGCAAGAAGGTGGCAGAAAGTTTTCAATAGGAAAATATTTTCATTTGATGATACATCTTTTTTTTTTTTTTTTTGACAAAATGGCTAAAGAGAGCTTAATGTTGATGTATTTTGTCATCCTTGAAATATCAAACCCATGTGGCTGGTTTTTCAATTCATACGCTCGAACCTTTGATGACCTATGATTGAGTTTCTTTTTATGTCTGGGCCGATCTGTCTTTTCATCCCAAAGACATGGACTTTTTTCCTCTAATGCAGGAAGAAGCACCCTTTTGAGAGGTTAGTTGGCTGCCTCTAATCATGTTTGTACCTCTTTTCGTAGAGAATAACACTACTACGAATATATTGCTTGCAAGCTTCTTTACTATACGATACTTATTGTAATCATGATATATGTTGACATTTAACATTAAGATATTGTAATATTCTTCAATCCTTGAAAAACTTATACTTAACCGCTCAAATAATGATCATGCCTCTGTTCTGCATGTGCCAATGTCACCTTTTAGACTCACATGGTGCATTAGATGGCCTACATTCCTTGATCTGTGTTACTGGGATAAGATGGTTGCTACCCCTTTGTCCACCACAGTTAATCTCACCTTAATACCAATTGACACAGTGTATTATGCAAAAAATATATATATATGTGGATTTTGTTAGTACTCAAAAACTCTAAAATTAAAAGAAAACACAGAAAACTTGTAGTAAAACTAGCAAATCTCAATTTTCATTCATTAATTGCCCAAAGACTTACAATTTTGAGAGATTAGTTGGTTACCTCTAATCATGTTTGGGCCTCTTTTCGTAGGGAATAACACTACTATAAATAGACTGACTGCGAGCGTTTTTGCTATTGCGATACTTAAATAAAATCAACTAAAAGAATACTCAATTGTTGATTATTCTAGTATTACTAACAAGTTGAAACAATTTAACTTAAATAACTCATTTTCTTTAGTATGTCTCAAATTTTACCATCCAAATATGAATAACGTGACGTGATCCTAATAATCAAGAAGCCTTTGCATTCCTCTAAAAATATCAACTTCAATGTTTACTCATTATCCTATATACTAAAGCAAAACGGTTTTTTTACCGTAGCAATAAACGGTATTAATCACCGTTCATTGTTACGAGTGCTTCGGTTTTTTTAAAAAAAATTTCACTTTTTTTTTTTTTTGGCCAGCGTGGCCTTCTTTCCCCCCTTTTTTTGTTTAGTTTTCATATGAACAATAAACGACTCCCTCCCCCCTCCTTTTTTTTCCTTTCAAAACATTGAATTTTTTTTTTTAATTTCCATCTCATTATCGTTCACATGAATACTAAAAACCGGCTCACATTTTTTTTCCTAAAAATTGAAATTTTTTTTTTAATTTTCGATTCTTAATAATATTGGGTGTTAAAATTTTAAAGGAACCAACAATTAATTGGGTGTTAAAATTTTAAAGAAACCAATAATTTATTTCCGTTATTATTTATTTCTAAAATTTAAAAACACAAATAAAAAATAGTTAAATACAAGTTTTTTGATGAAAAATTATAATTATTTTTTATCATAAAATAGATTATTAAACTGAAATAATTTTTTTAAATGATTTTATATATTTTATCCAACCCACAACGTAGCGTGGGTCAAAAATCTAGTATATACTATAGAATAATTGCCTCTCGCAAATGCTAGTTCTACTACTGCTATAGTCGCCTACTAGATAAGATCCTAACCCTATCCATGATTAAGGTAATTTAAGCAAAACGGTTTTTTATCGTAGCAATGAACAATGTTAATCACTCGTTCATTGCTTGTAGTGCTTTGATTTTTTTTTTTAATTTTCATTTTTTTCTTTTTTGGCCGGCGTGGCCTTCTTTCCCCCCTTTTTTTCGTTTAGTTTTCATATGAACAATAAACGACTTCCTCTCCCCTCCTTTTTTTTTCCTTTCAAAACATTGAATTTTTTTTTTTAATTTCCATCCGTTATTGTTCACATGAATAGTAAAAGTCGGCTCACATTTTTTTTTCCTAAAAATTGAAATTTTTTTTTAATTTTCATTTCTTAATAATGTTGGGTGTTAAAATTTTAAAGGAACCAACAATTAATTGGGTGTTAAAATTTTAAAGAAACCAATAATTTATTTCCGTTATTATTTATTTCTAAAATTTAAAAACACAAATAAAAAATAGTTAAATATAATTTTTTTGATGAAAAATTATAATTATTTTTTATCATAAAATAGATTATTAAACTGAAATAATTTTTCTAAATGATTTTATATATTTTATCCAACTCACAGCGTAGCGTGGGTCAAAATCTAGTGTATACTATAGAATAATTGCCTCCGCAAATGCTAGTTCTACTACTCGCTATAGTCGCCTACTAGATAAGATCCTAACCCTATCCATGATTAAGGTAATTTAAGCAAAACGGTTTTTTATCGTAGCAATGAACAAGTGTTAATCACTCTGTTCATTACCGTAGTGCTTTGGTTTTTTTTTTAAATTTTCATTTATTTATTTTTGGCCGCCGTGGCCTTCTTTCTCCCCTTTTTTTCGTTTAGTTTTCATATGAACGATGAACGACTTCCTCCCCCTCCTTTTTTTTTCCTTTCAAAACATTGAATTTTTTTTTTTAATTTCCATCCGTTACTATTCACATGAATAGTAAAAGCCGGCTCACATTTTGTTTTCCTAAAAATTGAACTTTTTTTTTAATTTTCGTTTCTTAATAATGTTAGGTGTTCAAATTTTAAAGGAACCAACAATTAATTGGGTGTTAAAATTTTAAAGAAACCAATAATTTATTTCCGTTATTATTTATTTCTAAAATTTAAAAATACAAATAAAAAATAGTTAAGTATAATTTTTTTGATGAAAAATTATAATTATTTTTTATCATAAAATAGATTATTAAACTGAAATAATTTTTCTAAATAATTTTATATATTTTATCCAACCCGCAGCGTAGCGTGGGTCAAAAATCTAGTATATACTATAGAATAATTGCCTCTGCAAATGCTAGTTCTACTACTCGCTATAGTCGCCTACTAGATAAGATCCTAACCCTATCCATGATTAAGGTAATTTAAGCAAAACGGTTTTTTATCGTAGCAATGAACAGTGTTAATCCGTTCGTTGTTGTAGTGCTTTGGTTTTTTTTTTTTAAATTTTCATTTATTTATTTTTTTTGGCCAGCATGGCCTTCTTTCCCCCTTTTTTTCGTTTAGTTTTCATATGAACAAGTAAACGACTTCCTCCTCCCTCCATTTTTTTTCCTTTCAAAACATTGAATTTTTTTTTTTTTAATTTCCATCTGTTACTGTTCACATGAATAGTAACAGCTGGCCACATTTTTTTTCCTAAAAATTAAATTTTTTTTTTTTTAATTTTCGTTTCTTAATAATGTTGTGTGTTAAAATTTTAAAGGAACCAACAATTAATTGGGTGTTAAAAATTTAAAGAAACCAATAATTTATTTCCTTTATTATTTATTTCTAAAATTTAAAAACACAAATAAAAAATAGTTAAATATAATTTTTTTGACGAAAAAATTATAATTATTTTTTATCATAAAACAAATTATTAAACTGAAATAATTTTTCTAAATGATTTTATATATTTTATCCAACTCTGTAACGTAGCGTGCAGTCAAAAATCTAATTTTTTTCTAAACATAAATTTCTCTCAAATTTTTCATACTCTTGGACTTGATTTGCATTTTATTAATATTGTATATACTTTCTTTCATACCTTTCACTATTTACACTCATTTTATTTTATCTATATGTCATTAATTATTTTTACAAATTATAATATTAATCTTGATATTTTAATCAATATGCGGATCCATTATTTACGTGTTATAAAAAAGTAGTGTCATGGAATATGTGTCGCTTATGAAAACATTAATTGTTTGTACGTAGAACAAATCTCCTTATCTTTTGTTAACGACACATAAACACAATAATATCGTAGCAACGTAGAACTAGATCCGAATCGTGTAGTCGTGCTCTTCTCAATATCATGTTCCTGGATTAACTTTCAAAGTTGCATTTTCGTCCATTCCCCCAAAAAAAAAAAAAAAAATCATTTTGTTCTTCATCAGGCCTGATTGCTGTCTTGGGCTTCATAAATTCACTTCATTTAAGGCGGGGCCGAACACGACTATCTAAGCCCAAAGTGAGATTGGGTCACTCTCAAAAATAGGCATATCAGTCCAAAATCGAATTCGGCTTGGACGCATCGCCCTGTCGCAACATGATTTTGTTGATACAATTGCTCTTCCAATAATAAGAGATTCACTAAAATACCGGAATAATAGCATGAAACGTCACTTTATTCTTTATATATATTTTTTTTAACGTAATCCTTTTACTCTTTAAAAAAAATGTCATCTGCAATGACATATCATATTAAATTATAATATGGAAAAAAAATTGAAAATTTTAACTGAAACAAATAGAAAAATAAAATGAAAAAAAAAACCACAAAATGTTTTTTTCTCTATCCTCTAGGTCAATCGAACCCAAATTACAGAGAAGAGAAAGAAAGAAGATAATAGAAGATAAAAATAGCAAAAAAAAAAAAAAACAGACGAGAGAGAGAGAGAGAGAGTGAAACAGAGAGACACTCACAGAAAACGAGACAGAATTATCAATCAATTATGGCCATGGAGGAGGGGGCAAAGTTGTTTGAGCCTTTGGTTTGGTTTGTTTGACTTTGATTGTTCCATTTTTTTTTTTTATTCCACATAGAAGCTTGTTAAAATTTGATGGGTATGTTAGATCCTTGTTTCTTCTTCTCCTTTCACTGAAAAAAAAAAAAAAAAAAAAGAGTATGGTTGCAAACTCATCTATGTTTTCCATTTCTTTTAAATGGTTATTTACAGTACTCAAATTTTTGAACTTTTGGATGTGGGTCTTGTTCAAAATGTTCTGTCTAATGGCTTCAGAGGCTGGATTTTTGTTTTTAGATGGTGAATTTTTTTAAAAAAATGGCTTCAGAACTGTGTTCTTCTTCTTCCACCGTCCATTATTATTATTATTTTTTTCTATTTTTAAAAACAAAAAATAAATTAAATTAAAAATAACAGAAAATATTAAATAATTAGCTTTTAAAGTAAAAAAAAATAATAATTAATTTATTTATTTATCCAAACAAGATGAACTAATTTATAATTTACTCCGGTAAGCAACTTTCCAGTAGGCCCCCATTATCCTTTTTCTACGCTTGCTTAATTTCCAAGGACATCAAATTCCAGGGGAGCACGAAACCATGAATGATCCAAGAAGTTCCCCCATACTTACTCCAATTTTATGTTCTAGTGATACAGACATGCTTTAACTCCAGTTACAATCAGTCGCACTCGTGTCAATACTTATCTTTCCTGGTGTGTGTTTAGGTTTAGGTTCATTAAAGACATCAACTACCAATAATGGACTTGACTTGACTTCAATTCGTTTTTTTTTTTTTTTTAATCCCAAAGGAATCCAAGTCTAAAGGCCAGATTAATCACTCGGTTCAGAACAGCTAAAGATTAATCTAGATTTTTAGAATTGATATAACTTGGAGATTCATAAAAAATTAAAAAAATAAGTAAAAAGTAGGTACGTCTGTTGCCGGGTCTTGATCTTTTTAACCTTTGCGGAAGCTGAATTTCTTATCAATACTGTTATTTTGCCCCAAAATTTTTCCTCAGTGCAAAAAGGACTGGCACAAAAATGAAGAACATATACCTCGCATTGATATAATTTATACAAACATCAAATAATAATACTAATCTGTCATCGAGCAGTTAACAAGGTAATAGTAATTTCATTTGCGGAACCTGTATCAACCTTGCTAGATGAAGACTCTTGATCAAATAATTTCCTCTCTGTGAAAAATCCAGGCTCATTTGGGTCAGGCAATGTAATGTTGCTTGTTAACATTAGCACCACTTTTGACATAGTAGGCCTATCCTCAGGAGCTTGTTGCACACACAGTAAACCGACATGGACCACCCGCAAAACTTCAGATAAATTGCAAGTGTCGTTTAAAGATTCATCGATCAGCTCAAATGACCTCTCTTCCTTGTAAAGTTTCCATGCCTGAATTCCAAAACCAAATTCATTTCAGGTTCAACAAAGAAATCAGCATATGGTTGTGCTTATGGTCAAAAGAAAAAGAGTAATCATATTGATACTTACATGACCAAGAAGGTTGTGCTTATGCTCTGCATGAAAAAATCCTCTGTTTCTCTTTCCATTTACTATCTCTAACACCAGGACACCAAAACTAAATACATCGGATTTTATAGAAAAGAGCCCATCAATTGCATACTCTGGAGACATGTAACCACTGAAAGAAATTGTTGAAAGAAGTTAAAAAATATGCAAGCAGCGAAAAAAAAAAAAAAAAAATGGCAGCCTGTCCAAAATGCTTACTATGTTCCAACCACTCTCTTTGTGTTTCCTTGAATTTCATTTCCACCAAAACTCCTGGCCATGCCAAAATCTGAAATTTTTGGGTTCATATCATGGTCCAGCAATATATTGCTGGCTTTTAGATCTCTATGGATTATCCTTAGCCTGGAATCTTGATGTAGATAAAGAAGTCCTCGAGCAATCCCATTGATAATATGGTGCCTCATAGGCCAGTCCAATAATTTGCTCTGCTTTTGATCTGGAAAAGGTTTGATCAATGTTAATTCATTAAAGTAAAACAACAGATTATGTTTTCATAACATCTAAATCTCTCACTATGTGTACTTAATTTTATGGTGGCACTGTTGACAGTGAAAAAGCCATAGTTGCAGATTTTGGTATGCAATTAGTAGACTAGTAAAAAATAATTAGATTGAAGTCTTGAGATGGCCATACCAAAGATGAAGGCATCCAAGCTTTTGTTGGGCATATATTCATAGACCAACATTTTTTCTTCAGATTCAATGCAGCAACCAAGAAGCTTCACAAGATTTCGGTGTTGGAGTTTCGCAATGCATATAACTTCGTTCTTGAATTCATCAAGTCCTTGTGTCGAAGTCTTTGAAAGCCTCTTTACAGCTATCTCTTGTCCATCTTTTAGCTTGCCCTGAAAGATTATTTGAACCAGTCATTGTAACCTCATGTCAAAATTGACTCTGGAAGATCGAGGTAGCACCGTGTACATTAGTAGAATGAACTAACAGCAAATGCTCTCGTTCAAAGCTTTACCTTGTAGACAGGTCCGAATCCACCCTCTCCAAGCTTATTGTCACTTGAGAAATTGCTTGTGGAAATAGCTATGGTTGCGAAGTCAAATACTGGCAGCTCTAAATCGTTATCTTTGCTATCTATTGTGTAGTCTTTTTCTTTCATCGAAGCCATGTTTCCTGTGAAATGGGAAATGCACTGCATAAATCAAACAGGTCTACGATTTTCCTTGAATTTCTTTTGCAACTTTTTCAGACAAAAACTACGTATCATGTATTTCTGCAAGTACACATAGCTTAAAATTAAAATGCTATTTTAGCCACTTCCTCCATCTTAATTAAACAATAGCAGCATAGAATTTTTCCACCATGATGATCATCTGGTTTTGGGAAGTAGCAGAACAGATATGGAAGTCATCAGGTATATCAAAGAGTAATCTGCTTTGCATTAACATCCAATGCAATAATTTTTTTCCGACTAATTCAATCAACAATCAGCAGTGTCAATTAGAGGGTTCGATAGTAATTACCTAGTGTCTTAAGCTTCCTCCTCCTGATTATAAACAGCAGGCAAAAGCCTAGGACGGCAATTCCAGCAATCAATGAACAGATGGCTATAATCCACACTCGTGTTGTCCTCTTACTTCTAGTTGGCTCTGCATAACCGAAGTGACCGAGTTGTTAAAGCAGTATAAAGCACAAAAAAATGAGACAACCGTAATGTTATTAGATTTTCTACTACCTTAATTACATTTGTAGTTAAGATATTGGAAGTTTCCCTGAAACAAAATGGCTTTATACTCTTCTTCGTCAATGTAAATTAAAATACAACTAGAGATGGTAGCATTTTTCTTTCTTGATCCACCCCAAGATGGACTCTTTGATACAGTATACTAATAAGTCTTATTCAATTTGCATTGATCAGTTTGGATTCTTCCCTATGAAGCTTTCCATATATACTAGCTCCAAGACCATTTTTTAATTAGTTGAGATATAAATTTTTGAGTTCTTGCTAATAGAACTTTACATGGATCTTTTCAGGACGTTTGTATCTCCACTAAAATACATAACCAATAAAGAAATGAAAGAAGAATAGACACGATGAGGATTCTAATCTCAACAATCAATGACAAGAAATTAGATATAAAAAATAAATCCCATGTGCATCCAACTATGTTCTTTGCCTTTTCATTTAAGAAATTAAAAGATATCCATAGGTCTAAAGCATCTCACCACTAGGGACATTTGTTTAACATGTGAAAGAAACAAACAAAATAATTTAACAGACCAAGAAAGGAAGAATGAAAGAGTTCATACCTAAATCGGCGGCAGATAATCTAATGAAAAAATCTTGCCCATTTTGCGTGTACTCTCTGATATCAAGAAGCTCCTCAAACCAAAGCAAGCATCCAGTTCCATCTGTGATATTTAAAATTGAATAAGCTGTACAAGAACAATTCATTAAGCAGACCCTTTGACATTCATCAATGTCCATTGTCCAATTAAACGAGGATGTCCTTGTATCTGGCAATTTCACACTTGTTACCTTCTGAAACCCCTCTCCTGCCCTGCAAATTGATTCATTCTTCCTAACACATCCTCCAGACCAATCCCCAGAATCCCAATCTTGACGAGATTTTGGTACAAATCCATCCAAGCACGCACAAGCAGGAGAATTGTTAATGTTACAACTTCCATATGCACCACAGACTGCATACCTATCACAATTATCCATCTGGGCTGTCAAGTACAGATTCCATGTTCTTGTGCTATTAGTCCAGGTGAAACGCTGCAAAATTCCTTCATTGGTCAGCAACATATGCGAAACAACTGAACTGTCTGTCAGATCGTACCTGTAATAAATTTCCTTCCCATCGTCAACAAACCCGTAAGTGTAAATTGGGTTCGGCTTCAAATTAGGCATCCCACTGAATCTAAGACCATTCCATGGTCCTGATCGGAAAACTATGTTCACACCAACCCTGATATATATCTGTGGATATCCACCAGGATCAAGCTTAGTTGTAGAATCACCCAATGAAGGATCATTAGTGCTTTTCCATGACACCAAGTACGTATCATGTCCAGTAACCAAGTTCTTGCCAAAATTGATGCCCGGCAAAAACACGTTACCTGGGTAGTCAAAACTCTCCCAAAAGTAATCATCCTTGTTTGTATCGCTTGCTTCTCTTACAACAAGATTTCCCGAATCCAAAAGCTGAGCCACTGGATTATCCGGCAGTCTTGATGTATTAGTAGACCATAAAACAACATTTGTTGAGTTATGGAGGACTAGGATTCCCTTGCTGGTAACTTGCAAAACTCCGGATGTATCATTGAGTGGTGCTTCTCTGTTGGCAACCCAAACCACTGTCTCTTTAGAGAACTTGTACCATATTCCAACATAACGCAAACTTGAACCTTTGGGGCTGAAAAATCCCAGCTCAAAGCTGCTCCTAGCTGAAACTATAGTCTCACCATCTGAGATGGACTGGTTTACAGCAATAGTATCTCCAGCAACGGAGACTATGAAGATGGAGAAGAAAATGGAACAGAAAGAAAGTAGCGCAAGGCCTTTCATGGATTTTTGGTTTTTGTTGCCTAACGAATGAGATGTTTTGGCTCTGGTTAAAGATAGTCTCGTTCGGAAGGAGTGACAAAATTAACTTCACAAAACAAATTACGGTTCCTTTGTTCTTTCCGGTCTAATGTTTTGGTCCTATTAGTCAGCTAGCTTTAATTGTTAGAAAATAAAATGAAATGATGATGAATTTTGAAGTGTGAAAGTTGGACCAAAGGATCTAGAAGTCTTTGACTAAATGCGTTCGTGAACAATAAATATTTGTCTTGGGACAATAATTGACGAGCACTGCTCGTGTCCTTCTTGTGCCAATTTGAAACCTTTCCTAGTGGCCAGTTTATTTGAAACCTTAGATTCAAATTATTGTCCTTTTTTTGCGACTTGAGATAAGAAAAATTGATGCTGAGCTTAAGACCATATTGATGCTATTTTTTGTTTTTCTTACCATCGTAAAAATAAAAAACCACATCAATTCCGAATTTTTTTCAATCTATTACAATCATTTTTATTTTTACTGTTTTACTATATTATTTTTTTCAAAAATATCAATTAAGTTTTTCTATTTAATTTTTCATCAAGTGATAATGCAGTAATTAATAAAAAAAAACTAAATGACTATATTATATTTTTTTCTTCTCCTAAATTATTATTATTATTATTTAATTAATAATTATAATTTGAGAGGAAAAAAATAATATTATCATTTAATCTTTCTGTTTATTGTCACATCATCATTAGATAGAAAATTGAACGAAAAAAATTATTTGGTATTTTCAAAAAAATTAATATACTAGAATAAAAAAATAAAAATTAAGTTGCTCGATTGAAAAAAATAAATAAATTTGATATACTTGTTAGGTCGTTTTTCCTCACAAAAATAGATTGTCCATATATTATATCAATTTGGGTTAACATGCGTTGTTCTTTTAATAACTTTTTTTAATTTTTTTATATTATTTATTTATTAATAATCTGTAATCTTAATGAAAAAAATACCTTCAATATTTTTTTAGTTACACGTCATCTTATATTTACGCTACATATTAACTAAAAAACTAAAACATCTGGGATAAATGAACAGTAAATTATTGTTCATTTGAACAGCAATTACTGTTCATTTATCCTAAGTTACTATTCATTACTTCAAAAAGTAGCATTGTTGTGATTTTCTACCATAGCATTTTCGTATTTTCTTATAGTTTTTTTTCATTTATTTTTAAATTTTACACTTTATTTTTTTTGGTCGCTTATGTTTTCAAAATATATTTTTAAATCCTCATATTTTAAAAAATATTTTAACATCTTATGTTTTTAACTTACTCCATTTTTGCCTTACTTTTTTTCAAAATATATTTTTTTTGTTCCTCATATTTTTAAAAAATATTTTTGGCTTCTTATGCTTTTAAATTTTAGAACAAACACATATAATTTAATTTGCAATTCAAGTATTTATTTCATCATAGATTAAGAAGTAATATTTATGGGAACCAATTTTGTAGTAGTTAGTATTTCAATTTATTTACTTTAATATATTTCATACAATTTAGATGGTTTTTTTAAAAAGAAAATGTTTGTTTATGCTATATGCTCTGAATCTACTAAGCTTGTGTGAATATATATATATATAGTTTTGTTAAAAATTAATTATATATCTTGCATACATAATTAATAATTTTTATTTTTTGTCCCTTTGGTTCAAAATCTATTTTTTTGTCCTTTCTCCTATTTCAATATTTTTATTTTTTGTTTTAAGAAATAGAGAAAGAATAAAAAATATATATGTGAAAAAAAAGACATTTTTTAAATTTTAAAAAATAAATTATTCATGTTCAACACGAATTAATAAATAATAATTTATTTTTAAAACCAAAAGAATTAATTAATTCATTTTTCAAAATGAGATGAACTTATTTATTATTTAATTTGCAATTTAAGAATATCTTTCATCATAAATTACAAAGTAAAATTTATGGAAACCAATTTTGTAGTAATTTTCATTTCAATTTATTGAATTTAATATATTCCATAAAACTTAGATGGTTTTTTTTTTAAAAAAAAAAAACAATTGTTTATACTATACTCTAAATCTACTAATTATGATCACAATATATATATATAGTTTTGTTGAAAATTAATTATGTATCCGCATAGATAACACCATTAGTCTCTTTGGTTCAAAAACTAATTTTTTTGTTTTTTCTATTTCAATAGTTCTATTTTTTTTTTTTTAAGAAATAGAGAAAGAATAAAAAATAAGAAATAGAGAAAGAAAAAAATAAGTAAAAATATGAAGGAAAAAAAGACATTTCTAAAAGTGAAAAAAATTATATTCTTTGTCAACACCGATTAAAAAATTAAAAAATTTATTTTTGAAACGAAAAGAATTAATTAATTCATTTTTCAAAATGAGATGGACTAATTTATAATTTAATTTATAGTTCAAGAATTTCTTTCATCATAAATTAAGAATTAAAATTTATGGTAATCAATTTTGTATTAGTTTTTATTTCAATTTATTGACTTTAATATATTCCATACAATTTAGATTTTTTTTTAAAAAAAAACTATATTTGTTTATACTATACACTATGAATTTACTAAGTATAATATATATATATATATATATATATATATATATGTATGTATGTATGTATTGTTGAAAACTAATTATGTATTTGCATACATAACCCTAGTTATTTATTATTTATTCTTTTTTATGTTCTAAAATCAATATTTTTTGAAATAAAATAATTAAAATAATATTTTAAAAGAACCTTTCAATTATTCAAATATAATTTTTTATGCTAATATTATTGATTATTTTATTAATAAATATATATATAAATCAAAAGATTTTGCTCAGTAAATAGATTTAATTCACATTAATTATAAGAAATAAGATTTTTACCTGCACAACACCATATAAATCATAAACCTTATATACGTAATGATTGTCCGATTGCAACATAATGTGGATATCCAACTAGTTTTGAACTAATCATGATTTGCACTCAACTTAATCCAGAACCAAATAAATATAGTTGAGGGACATAATAAACAAAACTTATAGCATAG